CGGGTCTCTATACAAAAAGGGGTACAAATATAAAGTACCGGGTCTCTATACAAAAAGGGGTACAAATACAAAGTGCCGGGTCTCTATACAAAGCTATTATGATATTAAAACTACACATCCTCTAAAATTGTTAGACTTCAACTATAGTCGCTGAGCGTATATGTTGAGTCTTATAAGAATTTAGTCTTGATTGGCCTAGAATTGGTGGTGCCCGCCTCATCTCCTGTTCCTCGTTGGGTTGTGGACCTAGGGCAGACCCACTATATTCAACGTTTTATCTAAGTTAAGCCTTATATAACTTTATATGTTGGACGATTATAGAGGAACTCTACGGATTACTCTAGGGTTCATTACAGCATCATGTAGGATTATTTCTATTCATACTTAACTAAGAAAATATTGGATTTTCTGGAAATCAAACTAAATCGATTTTACAAGGAAAAACGGTTTCTACTTCAAACAAAACTCTTATGAACTCACCAACCTTTGTGTTGACACTCTTTAAAATTACTTGTATTCTCAGGAAATCAGTGAAACAGGAAAACTTCATCGCTTTGAGGATGGGACGCTAAACCGTCAACAACTTATTTTGTCATCATAATGTAATTGTTTTTGAAACATGTAAACATATACTTTGGTGTAACTTTTGCAATTATATTTATGGTGGTTGTTTTTACTTTGAGCACTATTATACACGTTGTTGTGATACTGTACATGAAGTCCTCCACCCCTAGACGTTTCCGCCATCCTTGGTTTGGGGGTGTGACACGCACACTTGGATGATTGCTACATGAAACATTATATGAAACATTATATAATGCACACCCCTTTTCTATGAAATCTGGTTTATGGTACTATTATTCGATTATGACATCTTACAATAAGTTTGGTTAATTGCATCTTAGGCGTAGATTATAGCATCTGACATTTGGTTTTTTTACGCTTTGTAGCATCATACTTTAGTATGGATTGAAACATTTTAATTTTGTATGAATTATATCATCTTAATTTTCATGACATTTACTACTTTTCACATACTAAATTAGAAAGACTACAAAAAGGATTACCATTACATTTTCATTTCCTAAATTACATTGATTCCAGTTCAAAAAACAATTGCATTACATTACCAACCACATTACAAAAGTACAATACCTAAATTACATTTTTAGGACAACAATTACAAGCATTATTGCAATAAACATTAACAATCCTGCAACAATCTTCATCACGCCAACCAATTTATCTTATTGTGAATAGATTTGTTCCCACATTCATCCACCCACTTGAAAAACCATCACCTTGAAGACTCCTACAAATTAAAAGGGAGAAAAACGTGTAATCACAACCCTAAAACCCTGCTAACAATAATCATTTCAATTTAACACAAATTTACACAGTACCTTGAAATTAGGGCATCCCCAAAATTTTCTACCAGGGTTATCTGATGTTCTTGACACTGCTACGTAGCACACATCACCACAATAGTATTTAGCAAGTTTCATTATGTGTGAAATTGCTGGGTTTGAAGACGATGCAACCATTGTTGCGTGAAGATGCTCTGCTACGTAAATGAGGGAGAAGGGCTACGTAAACGAGCGAAGGGGGACAAAATTCGTTGGGATTCCCCTTTTTATAAGGTATTTCTGTAACGGGTTGAACGTCACCGGATGACCGTCTCCAAACCTGCTAAATGACATTTTTGGCAGAAAGATCCCAAATGTTGGGCATTAACGCACCAAAATTCATCACGGGGACTAAACCGAACAAGTTTTAAAAACACAGGGATTTTTAAGTCAAAAGCCCTTATTTTGGAATACCAAAAATCGGCCGGAATTTAATATACTGGATCATAAAGGTGTTCACGAAATTTGTTTGATAAAGTATCCAAATATGTATGAAAAAAGATAACGGCTAACTTGGAAAAATATGAATAATTGGTTCATGGATTATAAATATATCACTAAATTAAACATATCGAGTAAACGAAACGTTAAACATATAAGAAAGAAAAAGAATTCATATTTGTAGATACAATTTAAAATGAAACACTTGGAGATGTTTTAAATAAGAAGCTATCATTTTGCATGTAAGGGGTTGATTGCATATGGCTCAAGTTTTATCGGGAATTGGACGTTAGATTACACGAGTATCGACATGTGCATATCTTCAATGCATGTGTATATAAAAAAAATAAAAAATAAATAAATAAATAAATAAATAAATAAAAAGATGTAACAAATCAAACAAATAGGAATTTCTTCATAAAAAATGAAATATGAATCAAATACATGATATGCCAAAAAAAAGTATCCTAAGACGTAGTTTTATATGTATGCATGCAGAACTTGAATCCATAGACACCTATGTGTAAATTATTAATTTCAAATTTATATAAAAAACTTGAATTCTACGAATCTATTTTAGAAAAAGGAATAAAAGGAGATACGAAATGGTGTCTTAATAATTAAATTGTCCTCAAATATTTCAAATCTTTATATAATACAGAAATTGATGTTACTAGTAAGCCTCAAATTCTGAAATCAATCACATTAATGTTAAATAAACTAAAATTAGATCATCCGTTGTACCCACTACTAACGATTATAATAGTGGGTGTCATCTCATACTATATCTAGCTATTAAACTTATGAGATATCTACGACTATATACCTCTTATTTTTTTAAATTTTAACTAATATATATATATATATATATATATATATATATATATATATATATATATATATATATATATTGTAGAGAGGTAGAAAAAGTTAGAGAGAGATAGAGAGAGAAAGAACTTAATTGGAGGTGATCATTAATTGGAATGCACAACAATTCGCCACGACGACAACCCGTCACTAAACATCGGGATAGTGTTCGTAGTTAACTCATATAACCACTAAACCATTCAGTATAGGGAAGGCTTTAAATAGCAAAACGGAAAACAATTAATTTAACATCTCTAAGAGCAAATTATAGAAATGGTCCCTCTTATTTTGTTACAATCGCAGGTTTGGTCCAACTTTTAAAAGTTGATAATGATCATTCTTGTGGTTTAAAAAAATTACGTCTATAATCCATGGTCCAGATAGAATAACAAGTTTACCTTTTATATATATCTATATATATATATATATATATATATATATATATATATATATATATATATATATATATATATATATATAGAGAAGTTCAAGTATTGAAAATAATTATTTTGTGGTTGTGAGAGTTAATATCACCCAATAATTCTTAAAGGTTATTAGTGTAATCTTACCAAATAATTAATATTATCCAGATTAAATTAAAATGTTAATGATTTCAATCAAATTCTTAAATAGCAAGCTAGTAATTATGCATTTCATCAACGATAATATATATATATATATAGAGAGAGAGAGAGAGATGTTCAAGTATTGTAAATAATTATTGTGTAGTTGTGAGAGTTAATATCACCCAATAATTCTTAAAGGTTATTAGTGTAATCTTACCAAATAATTAATATTATCCAGATTAAATTAAAATGTTAATGATTTCAATCAAATTCTTAAATAGCAAGCTAGTAATTATGCATTTCATCAACGATAATATATATATATATATATATATATATATATATATATATAGATATATATATATATATTCATTTTCTTCTATTGCGGAGTATTCATTATTCATCTTCATATTATATTTCTTCTTCTGATATTTCGTTAATGGAGGTATTGTTTTCTTCACATTTTTCTTTTTCATATATTATTTTATTTATTTTTCGTTTCATGGTTCTTGTTGTTGAAATTCATTGTTTTAATTATACTTGTTTTGATTTTCAGAACAAAGATAATGCTCATAACAATAACAATGATTTTTCTGATAACAATGGATGGAATGTCAATAAATATAAAGTGAATCAAGATTTGAAGAAAAATAAAAGATGTGGCATTTGTTTTGATGTTGGTCATGATAGGAGGAATTGTCCTCATGCATTAGTCAAGAGAGAGTAGAAGTTCAATTCGTCAAGAGAGATTAGAAGTTCAATAATGTTTTCATTTTAGGTTTAAAAGCTTTTATTGAGTTTTATTTCAGTATAATAATGATATTAATTCATGAATTTTAGGGGTTTTTTCTTGTTTGTTTATATTTTCATTCAATAAATTTTAATAATATATGATGTTTTGATATATGTTATTGGTTATTCATTAGCATATTCATTATTCTTTTTTATACTCATTTTTTATGTTGATTTATTTGGATACAATTTGTTTTTGATCATCGGTTGAGAAATTTTTTGTTTTTAATGTATTTTTTTTTCTATTCGTATAACATAATTGTGCCTAATTGTGTTATAAGTATTGGTTATGCAAAGATTCTTTTGGAATTGTTCTTATTTAAAATTTGCAGAATGCTATTGTGTATTATAATATCAGAACAAACAAATACACAATTTAATAAACTATTACACTAAACAGAAATGTGTATATGCAAACCCGTCCTTGAAAGATATTATTTAATGTTATTCTTGTTTCACATATTCTGACAGAATAAAAAAAACTTGTATCTTCATTGTATTCTTAGTATCTGCGTTTATGCCATAATTAATCGGTAATCATATGTAAATTCATACATAATAATTTTTTTAATAAATTTGTTGAATAAATTATTGAAAAGCCTTATGTACGGAAGATGATCTTTTGTAAAGTCTTATCTATGGAAAGTATTTTCTTTGGAATATGAATTTGTCAAATAATAACAATATCATGATTAATAATAGGATTTGGTGTTGATTCTTATCTTTACAATGATTCTAAAGAATAAAAAAATTAAATCATTCATAACGATGCTTGAACAATGCTTGCAGATATCAAGACTTTTTAGTTACATATCAATCATATGGTTCCCTTTTTTTAATATATAGTTAATTGCCTCAAAGTTTAGAAGATTCAATTTACTCTACTTTCTCCAATCATCTGGTGTTAAATCGTGCTAATAATTATCATATGGATGATACAATATCAGCTAGTGAAGATCATAGTCATGACCAACATGAATATCCTATTGATTATGCAGACCATGATGAAGATTTCGGTCTAGCTGATCATGATTCTCTAGATAATATCGATTTTGAAATAGACGGTAATAGCAATCTAAATCTAAGTGATTTATCTTTATAAGTTTTTGTACTTGTTATTTTATAACAATAATGTTGAACTTGTATCTTGTTATTTGTATTATGGAAAAACTTTAATTTACAAAGTTAAGGATCCATTAGAACACATTCAAAATCATATCGATGTCAATTCCAACTATCATTTCGGTGAAAGTAGTAATCATAACCAAGGTGATGTATCGTAATCATTTGTTTGTTTTATATATATAATTATCCATTACACACTAATTCTATTTAAAATATGCAGAAAACGAAAACGAGTTCATTGATGATGAGGAATATGATACTATAGCCGATGATAATATTGATTTACAGAAAGGTTAGTACACCAATTAAAAAATAATTTACAAAACTAGATTAATTCCTTGATATTTTTTGCTATTTGCACATTGAAGCCATTCATTTATTTCACTCTGTATGAGTATGTGGTATATAATTTAATGTTTTTTATGCAGAAAAATCACATGTTACACATGATTATGTTTCTCCAAGTGGCTCACATTATTGGATTCTTATTGTTTCAAAACACATCAAACCTAAAATCAACTCAACAGTTGACTAATATGGTGGAACATTATCAATGTATAAAAATTATGCATCAGAAGCAGGTTTTGATGTTAGGCTTGGAACAATTAGAACAACTAAATCTGACATTATCACACAACGACATTTGCTATGCAATTGGGAAGATAAACCAAGAACCGCTCAATTGGATACTTTAGACCCTCAACATTGTAAGATTCAAAGAAGGAAATACTCATTTAGGTGCGAACGCAAAGAAAATTTTGTTTTTATTCTACTACATGGTACTAATAAATATATTGTTGATGATTTTGTTGAACAACATACTCATGAATTGTTTGTTAAGGACAACATGTTTTTGTCTAGTACAAAGAGGAAACTTGATTATTTTCAGGAGATGTTTATTCACAACTCATTAAAGCAAAATATTGGTGCCTCAAGAGCACACAGGTTGTATATCGGACTTCAGGGTGGGTCTGACGTTCGAGGTGGTTTGGTTTCCGATTTCAAGAACAGTATGAGAAATCTAAATTCTTATATAGGTTCTAGGGATGCAAAATTCCTTGTAGTCAAGATGCTGGAAAGGGAAAAAATATCCCTACTTTTTCTTTCGAGTTTAAAGTCGTGCATAAAATATTGAATGCGCTTTTTTGGGCTGATGAGACCACAAAGTATAACTATAATGCTTTTGGAGACATTGTATCCCTTGATGCCACATTCAACATGAATAAGTATTTTTTTAAATTTTTTAATGTTATTACAATTTCTTTATTACTTCCAATAATGGTAACTAATTTTAACTTTGTAATACAAATATGATATGGTTTTTGTACTGTTCACTGGAATTGATAACCATAATAAGTGTGTAACTTTTGGTGTTGAGCTTTTGAGTAGAGAAGATGGTAGTTCTTATTCTTGACTGCTTAGAGCATTGTTGAAAGCATTCAAAAAACAAGCTACACTTGTTTTTACAAATTAAAATCCAGCTATAAACAAAGCTGTAACTGAAGTTCTTCCAATATCATCACATAGGTTTTGTTTGTGGAATATTACAAAACAATTGAGAAACAAGGTAAACATTTTTTTTAGCAAAATACCGTTTATAGTTTTATTTTCTAAATACAAATATTTCTTGCGGAAATTCTGCTAGAATAAGAACTACCAATACTAAGACAGAATTTATATAATGTAATTCTGATAGAATCATTAGACCATTATTCTAACAGAATGCATATGATATCATATTCGTCTCCCTTACACGACTTACACCAACATTTTTGTTTTTTTTTTACTAAAATGGGTTATATGTAAATTTATTCAGATAACATCCGAAGTAGCTACAAACTCAGATTTTCGGAAGCGTTTTCACTCTATAATTTGGAATTCTAAGCTGGAACCACATGATTTTGATAATGTATGGCAATCTTATTTAGATGACTTTAACATTTCAAATAACAAGTGGATGAAAGAGATGTATGGATTGCAGAGACGTTGGGTACCTGTATTTTTCAAGGACATACCAATGCCTGGTCTTATGAGAACTACATTTTTGTCTACAGGCCAAAATTGGTCATTTCAGAACAACACTCTTAGCGGTTGTTTTCTTTTACTGTTTATGATGACATTTGAGGGTGTAATGGAATGTCAAAGACGTAATCAAGTTGTCAATGACTCTAACACTGCTATAACAGTTCCTAGATTCATCACATCTAGTCCAAATAAAGCACATGCTTCAAAGGTCTACACTCGTAAAATATTTTATCAAGTTCAGAAAGAGATTTCAAATTCTGAAAATACTTGTTTCCAAATGAGTGTTACTTCTTGCAATGGTGTTGACACTATTATTGTTTTGAAGAAGCAAGAGAACATAAGTACAATGCAACCAACAAGTCCTGTTGTTGATGACAAACTTGAGGAATACCATTACGATTGTCTTACAAAGGATACCCAATACACTGTTTGTTATGATTTCATTATATAATCATTTCTTCTTTATCAAATAATAAGAGTTTTTAACCTATAGTTATATACTATAATATATATTGCAAGTTATCCATTAAAAAACATAGGATTCATTCAAGTGTACCTGCATGTAGTATAACATGTTGGTACAACTCCAAGGTCTCCAATGAAGCTCTTCAGCCATATTGTCTCCTTCGCCACCTCGCTTGCTGTTATGTACTCTGATTCGCAATTTGAATCAGCTATTGTCTCCTGCTTGGAACTTTTCCAAGTTATTGCTCCTCCATTCAGGGTAAAGACCCAGCCTGTAACATCCCCATTTTCACAACCAGAAAAGACCAATTTTTTTTTGTTTATGCTTGTTTAAAAATCAGAGTAACATTTTAAAGAAAAGTGTTGTAGAATTTGTTCCCACAAGAAAATATGATAAAGATTTATCAAAGCATTTCCAAAGAAATTTATTTCATTATATTAAAACCTCAGGATGTCATGTTTGATACAGATCAAAAGCATAAACAGAACATTATAAGCCTTGCAACATTTATTTATATCTACTGGCCTATAATCCATAATCCCTCATCAAGTCATCCAACTATGCTCTTGTGCCACTACCTATAATAGAAGAAACTGAGTGGGTCGGGCTTGGGAGTTTGGTGAGCACATAGGGTTTTCAACCCACAATAAATAGTTTATTAGTTTTATCACATCGATCAACCCAATTACCCATTCTTGTTATCCTCACTTTACGTCCCTAAAGCACCTATTATAAGGGACCTAGCCTAAGGATCATCATCGAGATGGACACTACTACTAAGGGGGTTCCTCAGCAATAAATGTCCTTAAGGAAACCATGAGGGGGATGGAGTACACCGATGAACACATTGTTCATAAACACCTACAGGTTGCGAGCCTGCTAGCGTTCCACTAGACTGTCTAGAATAATTTGTGGTCGTCATCTATACTCCACTAGATGACTGGATCATCGTAAACATCGAGGTCTCAAATCATTTTATCGCACATCGTCTATTTCATCTACCAATGTTTTACCCCAACATATTTGTAGATATGAAATACATATATAGTTTAAATCGTTTAAAACTTGTATAAAAATGTTCATCCAACATAGATATCAAGTAAACATATAATATGCACACATAGCAGGTAATTTATATAAAATACTTCATATCTATGTGTAACATGAAATTAACTATGCACTCACTTGTTAAAGTGATGATTCCAAAGTCGGGCAACGCTTCGTTTTTAACAATATAATTTCATTCGACGAAACCTAGTATTATTACCACTAGATTTTAGTCTAATATTTACTGTGACTAACTATTAGTCTTAGCATTATTATTATTATTATTATTATATAAGCGTTTAAACAATATTTTTCAACCACTATGTACGGACAGGGGCCAGACACAAAATAGCGGAGGGCAGGACCATTTTGGCATATATCACTTCTGATATCCAACAACCCTATACGGCCCTTTAAACCAAATTCCCCGTACCGCGAGTAGTTAAAAATATATTATAACGAAACTTATATTGTAACACCCCGTTCTTTAAGTGTTAATTATGAGTCCCTGAGATTTAAGAGGGAAGGTAATTCTGGTCCTTTTCGGAAATGAGTTTCATCCGAGAAGGTTTCGGGCGGGTGTATGGGCTACAAGTATTCGGCTTCTCGTCACCCTCGTATGAATGTAAGTTATTTGAGAGTGGGTTTAGATTAGAGGAGTTGTGGTGCCTCGAAGTTGATCATTTTTTATAGTTCTTTGTGGAATAAGAAGGGGGATGGTCCCATGCATGCATGCTTTTGATTTTTGAAAGGTGGCCGGGTACGCCCAGCGTAAGTTGGACGTACGCCCAACGTAAGTGGGTGATCGATGCGAGTTGGCCGGGTGAGTACACCCAGCGTACCAGGGAGGTACGCCCAGCGTACTCTCAAAAACCCCAAACCCAGTTTTTAGGGTCAGCTACTATATAAGGAACATGTTGGTTCACCCCTCAGCCTCCTTTTGCTCATCTTTAACCTCAGAGAAACCCTAGATCTCGTATTCTCTCATTTTTGGGTGTGTTTGACCTTGGAAAGCTCTTGTTGGCAAAAGAAAGGCTTGAAGGAGAAAAGGGAAGTTGTCAAAGAAGAAGAAGAACGTGTGGAACTTTTGGATCTGAAGAAATACCACCCTTTGGAGCTGGTTTAAGGTATAAAGCTTCTTGCTTGACCTTCATATTGCATAGATCTATGTATTTTGAAGCTTTGTTATCATTCTTGTCCCAAAAGTCCTCATCTTGTTGCATAGTTCGATTTGGTCAAGATTATCTGTTCTTTCAGACCTTTGGAGAGGTCTTGAGTGATAAAAATGAGGTCCCAAAGGCTGTAGTTGTTCCATGTATGAGTTATATAGGTCTTAATGGATTAAGACCTTGGATTAAGAGCTTAAGGACGTCCCAAGTGATAAAGTCTGAGACTTTATGATTTCTAATCATATTTGGCCTATGGATCTGAAGTTTGCGCTTAAGAGCTTAAGCCATTAAGATGTTAAAAGGACTTAATGGATCTCGCAGTTACGCCCCGCGTAACCTTCGAGTACGCCACGCGTAGCGGGCCAGTGTCCCGTTTTCTTTTGGCGATCATTGCAGTACGCCCAGCGTACTCCTCCTGTGGACTTTCTTTTGGGCTTTTGTGTTGGGCCATTTGTGGGTTGTTGGTGTTTGGGCCAAGTCTGGAAATTATGAATAGAGTATCTTGGGCCCAATTAATATTATGGGTATTGGATCTAGGCCCATTTGGTGAGGTGGGCCCAATTTGGTAAATTGGGCCAATGTTGGACTTTGTGTGAGATTGGGACTTTGGCCTTGGTCCGATAAGTGGAAGTATGTTTGACCTAATGCTTATGCTTGTTATGTTGGTTAGTTCGGGATTTGCGGTGAGTTGGTCGTTCGGTAGTCTGCTTCTTCAGTTCAGAGTATCGGCATTCTCGAGGTGAGTTGTCCTCACTATATCAATAGGGTCTAAGGCACCAAGGCCGGCCCTTTATTGGATTGTGATTCGAATATGGTTGTTATGTTATTGCTTCATATGTCTGCATCCTGGTAGCTAGGATGGTATATGCTAGAGACCTGGTTAAGGTCGGTTTCCCGATATGTAGAGTGATGCTATGCTAGTGACCGGTTAGGTCGGTAACCTGGTTAGGGTAATGATATGCTATGTGATCTGCTTGATCGGTTTGTTGACTATGACTGTTATATGATTGTATGTTATGTGCACATGGTTGTTTGGACCGGAGATGGGTTGAGGCGGGTCCTGCTTTGTGCTGTAGGCCAAGATACCCAGGGCGGACCGGTTCTTTCGAAGGCCCAGCGAGCGGTCCGGATAGGCTGTAAGCCCCACGAGGGCGGACCATACATGTCGAGGCTCGAAGAGTGGACCAGGCCGACTGAAGGCCCGATGCGGGCGGACCAGTCATACTGTAGGCTCAGAGAGTGGACCAGGTGGGTTGAAGGCTCGGAGGGTGGATCCGGTGGACTGAAGGCCCGATACAGCGGACCAGTCACACAGTAGACCCGATATGCATGTCTGTTCTATGTTCTGTTATGTTATGTATGCTCTTTATGCTATGGGCCGGAAGGCAATATGTTATGGGTCGGAAGGCAATATGTTTTGGACCGGAAGGTCGTAGCCTGGAAGGGCGTATATGTGGTTGGTATTTTGGGGGTATCTCACTAAGCTCTCGGGCTTACAGTTGTGGTTTAATGTTTTTCAGGTTCTTCAGGAGACTGTGGCAAGGTAAAGGCGTGACCGTACCGTTCCTCGCATTTATGTTTTATGAAATGGACCTGGGAATATTCTGATAAATAATGTATTGAAAACCTTTTTGTAATAATGTTATTAAGGTAGGTTGTTGACTTCGGGCTCAGAGTCCGATCCATCCGAGAAGCCTTCAGCTTGATGATCATCCAACGGAATTTGATGCTCATCATCGGACTCTGCTTCGAGCCATCCTGCGTTTCCTTCATTTGGAAAGTACGGGTCGCCGTGATGGAATCCAGCCATTTAAATCTACGCGAGAAGAGAGGTATAAGGATATAGTATATATGTAGCTAGTAGTACAAAATACACCTATAGTATTTTAAGTTTAGGTTCTACTGATCTTCTTGTGGTATTGTTGGTAAGTTTTTAGACTTGTTAACACATCACAACCATTCTAGGGCATATGCTAATCACTCCTCGGACCAGCATAGTTGATCAGGCTATGCCATTCCTAGGACTGACCATATATCCCCGAGCTTACCTGTGATATTTAACAATCGTAATACTTTTGTTCTTGTCAGTGTGACACTGATTTTAGTATGAATGCAGACTAGTATGCTTAATTAAATATCTTAGTATTTAAAGTATAGACTCTTGGTCAGAGTGTTTTAATCCTAAATGGGTTTATAGTTTAGTATATCTTTTATGGGTTGATATACTTTATTCACTATAAACAATGCTCTGATACCAATCTGTCACACCCCAAAACCAAGAACGGCGGAAACGTTCTGGGGCGAAGGACGTCATGTAAAGTATCACAACACAGTATAACAGTAAATAAGCAAACAACATCATCCATTGCATTAAATATATAATTTTAATACAAGTGTGTTCTTTACAGTTATAGACACCAAAAATAATGTAAATCAAAAGAATAAGATGAGTCTTGGATGCGCTCCATCTTCTCAAAAGCTGGCCTCGGTACCTGTCTACTGATGACCTGAGAATACAAGTTATTTTGAAAGAGTTTATCAGCATTAAGCTGGTGAGTTCATAAGTATTTTAGTGTCGGTATTTTTCATCCAAAAACGTTTGAACATGTCTCAAGTGTAAGTTTGTAAAATGTAAGTAAATGTTTGTACAAGTTTGAAATCTCTTAGAAAAACCTATATTTTCTATTAAAGTAGCCTTCTACCAAGTCTTAACTGTTTTGTATGCTCGTTTGTTGTAAAAGTGTGTAATTTCCCAAGCGTAACTATCAT